AACATTAGATCCATGAAATTTAAGTTCTAGCTACTGTATTGCTTTGATTAAGCAATATTAAAAGTCTTTGTATAAGAGAGAAAATGCTTAAAAACCTAGAGACTGCTTGGGAGTGAGCTCAGTTGGAAAGTACTTATCTAGCATACGCAAGCCCCTGGTTCTGATCTACAACACCCTAAAGCAAACAAGAAAACCAAACAAAAACCAAAACCATAAAAGTCTCTCCAACAGGAGTCATTCTGCTCACTAAAATAAAAAATGATCTAAAGTGTTACATCTTTTTTAATGGCTACTAACATGCAATAATCTGCTATTTAAAGAGTACAGAAGCCATTTGTGAAGAGAATATTATTCAATGACTGGGCATTGCCTTACTAATTGGGAGTTTCAGAAACAGAAGCTCTCTCTTGCCCTGAGAGGCTACTCTACATCAAGCTGTGCCCTTCTCAAGACAACTACCTGGCAGGGGCATCCTCTAATCCCTCTGGCTCAGTCTGGTTAGTGCGCACATTCAGGAAAGCTTTCCTTTAGAGGGTGGCAATGCTACCTTAGCTTTCATACACAGGTGTCTCAAAACTTGCATGCTCCATTATGCTAACCAGAGATTTCCCTTCTCAGTATCTGGAAAGCAGTACAGACTCCTAAATCTCAGATACTTTAAATACTTGAAATAGAGTTTTGTTTATTTAGACAAAGAACTTAGAATGTGTCTTCCCTAATCTCATCAAAGCTGACACTGAAAAACAGTAGTTGAGATTTTATTTCATATACTTTCTTCACATATCTGATCAAATATGCTAAGTCATTTACAACAAAATAGTAATATCAGGTTAATCATCATCTGCTAGAATACAAAGTCTTAAAAAAGAGATTGTTCATCTTTCGATTACACATTGTTTAGTAATGAGACTGTCTATGAAATGTTCATAAATAGTTTCCTGCTTACTAAAAAAATTATATGCTCTGGCTTGAAAATAAAGTTGAATCATCTCTTAAAACAGACTACTAACTCAAACTCTAAAGCAAATTACAAAACTATTAAAATTGTAAAGAGGTAAGAGTAATAATGGGATAAATATGATCAAAGTATTTTCTATGCATGTACACCAATATAACAGCACTAAGAACAAACCTTGTACAATTAATATACACTAATAAAATATAGTGTGTATATAGTATGTGTGCATAAAAAAGCCAACTATCTTGATATCTGGAGAGTAATCAAGAAAGGCAGATTATGATGGGAGTCAAGACTTGGAAAAAGGAAGTGGAGGTATGGCTCAAATGGCATAACCCTAGTCTTAAGATAAAAAGCCAAGGGAGAGCAAAGCACCTGAGTTCAAGTCCCAGTACTAACAATCAACCACACATATATGCACGTGCACATGCTTGTGTGCATGTGCGTACACACACACACACACACACACACACACACACACTATGGAATTTGGGAACTTATTTTAAAGCCTGACTCACTTGGTTTGAGAAAGGCAAGTACTAAAATATAAGGAAAAAGTCCCAGAAAAAACAAAGCCATAGTTGGGGATCCGCAAATTGTGTATAAAAGTTTACCCAAATCTCCAGGTAAACCCTGAATAATCTATACCAAAAATGAGTACAAAAGTAAAAATAAGAACAGACTTCTCACAAAGACATTGCAGTCTGAATCTAAAAAAGTTAATATAATATCAACTTAGATACTAAAAGATATTAACATCACTGAGAGAAATTCCAAAAATCTAATGTTTTTACAATGTGTAAATTTTTCCACCATGTGATAAAGCTTTTTATCAAGATGAAAAGAATATTATGAAATATGCTTCATGAGTGGATGGGAGTTAAGATGAAAGAGTGAACAAATGGAGTGAGAAATACTATGCAAATACAATCATAATGCTCAATATACATATGTGAGATGGAACTAGGAAATGGGGTGGGCAGAGTTGGGATGATGGCGGGGTGGGAGGGGGTGGGGAATGATAAAAGATATGACATATTTTTTTAAAAAGAGTACTGTGTAGTAATAATAGAGGTAAATTAAGCCAGGATGTCACATTTCAGAAATAAAAGATGGAGCTGTTCCTGTATCTATTTTACTTGTATTCAACACCTTAAGGAAAAAACTACCCTTGCAATAAATGATAAAGACAAATCATATGGAAGTGAAAGAAAAATACATTTACACACAAATGCACACATTAAATGTACATTATAAAATAATTACAATATCTGACAGAAAAAAATTATCTGTTGACATTAATAAGCGAAACAAATATAGGAAAAACGTCAAGTTTAAGAGAGTCATAGAAATTATCAAATCTGAAAAACAGTGCAAAAAAAGAGGGTAGAGAGAAAAAAGTAAATAAGAGTCAAAGAAACCTTAGTGTAACAATATCAAAACAGAAAAATATAATTTAAGTCTCAATAGAAGAGAGATGAGATAAGAAGTATTTGAAGGAATACTAACTAAAACATTATGATGCAATGGACAAGCTAATAGGTGCTGGCATAAGTATCCATACAGGAAGCAATGAAAAATAAAAAGAAATATAACTCTCATTTCCAAAGTCAGCTCATTTCGATCCAAGGTGCCAAAAAATTGCATAGAAAGAAGGCATCTTTCCACAAATGATGCTAAAAACAAAAAGATACTCAAATGGGGATGAATACAAACTTCACCTTTTTTCTTAGTCAATTTTGATTACTATGTATGTATGTATTTATGTATGTATAATTTTATTTATCCATTCACTGGTTGTTGGGTAACTCAGATTCCACAGTGGCTACATAGGTTTCTTTCTTGCACATTGATTTACATTCCTTAAAATAATGTATTTGAGTATTATGATGGGGTAATAAATTTGCTCTCTATTGAGGGTTTGCAGCCTCCTCACTGATTGCCACAGCAATCACACTAGTTTTCATTCCTTCCAATAGTATATGAGGTGTTTTCTCTCCTTCACCCTGACTGTATCCTTAAAAGCATTTGTTGTTGTTCGGTTTTTTGATAATTCCCATTCTGACTGGGAGAGAACTTTAGTGTACTTTTAATGTTCATTTTTTCATATGACTAAAAATGTTGAACATTTCTTCACGTATTCTTATTTCTTCTGTATACTTGCTTGTCCATTTATTAGTAGGATTGCTTTTTCACTTTTTAGCTTTTAAAGTTCTTTGTATAGATACTATTCCTTTATCTATTGATTTTCTCTCATTCTGTGTTTGTCTTTTGACTCTGGAAGCTGTTTCTTTTGGTGTCTAGAACCTTTTTATTTTGTTGTAGTCTCAATCATCCATCCTTGGTGAGGGCTGTCTTATAGCAACACAGACAACATTACATGAAGAAACAGAAACATGAAGCACAATAGAGCTGGAGATTTTTGTTGCTGTTGCTCTGGGAGTTCAAACTAAGGGCTTTGTATTTGCTAGACAGGCAGTAAACCACTTGGGCCAGGCCTCTAACCCTTTTTTGCTTTATTTTTGACTTAGGATCTCATTTATGCCCAGGTGGGCTTGGTCTATGATCCTATTTTAAGCTCTCCACCACAGCTGGGATAACAGGCATGAACCACTACACCCACCTTCTTCTTTTGAGATGGTGGCAAACACACCAGGCCCAACTACTGGCTAGCCTGGAACTGTGATCTTCCTAATCTCTGACTTCTGTTACAGGTGCAAGACACTAAGCCTTGTCCCCTCTCTCCTCCTTATAAAACCAACCACTAATGACATCAAGGAGACTCCTATGTTAGGATCTCATCTAATCCTAGCTGCTTCCCAAAGGGCCTACTTCAAAACACTACCAACATGTTAATTTGAGAATTCAACTTCAGACACACTCAAAGCAAAGCAAACTTTAGGATATACCATATATAAAAGTTTATTTGAGATACATCGTAGACCTTATTGTTAAAAAAAAAAAAAATAGGGATCAGCCTCTTTGAGTGAACACAGGAGAATTCACTTATGACAAAAACTCTAATATTGCCTTGAAGTTGGTAAAGATTTCTTAAGTTTACAAAAAGATCCATAAAAGGATTCTATCAAAATTTAAAATGTCAGCTGATTTTTCTACTAAGAAAATAACAAGTAAGCTGCAGAGTGAGCTAAATATTTGCAAAACAACTGAACAAAAATCTTGTATCGAGGGTATAAAAAAGCTTTCATCATTCAATTATATATATGTAAAAAACTTAAATTTCACAACAGAAAATACACAAATAGCCAAAAGTATATAAAAGTGATACAAAATTATTATTAATCATTAGAAAAATTAGATGAACATCACAAGAAATTACAGCATCAAAACATTAAACAATAAATCATAAAAAAACATAGTCCCCCTCAAAAGGAGAGGAATTTTTTTGTAAAACAAAATACATAGCAATTTCAATAGTAGGTATTTACCCAAGAGAAAAAAACAATAAAGACACATAATGGTTGGTTCTTAAAGGTTCACAGCAATTTAAATTCCTAATAACATAAAACTGAAAATACCTGGTCAAGTGGATAAACTGTGGTTCATTCAAGAAATAGATTATTATTTTTCAATAAATGATTTGCTGATATATACAACACATATGAGATGAATCACATATATGAACATTGCAAGGAAAAAGGTAAAAGAAGGATGAGATTTAAATACAATAAGAATATAGTATTTTTGGTCATGCACATGCCAAGCATTGTTTTAAGTGCCAAATATAGACAAGCTTATTTGATTCTTAACATTCTAACTTCATATTACAAATAAGAAAATAGAGGGGAAGAAATCATATAGCCAGTTATGATTCATAAACCTATTTTCTGCAGCACTTATACTAGCATCAAACAAAAGATATTATCACTAAATTTACTAAGTTTTTAATGCCCTTTAAAGGTATATATAGTTGGGAATGCTGAGGGGAGAAAATCTCTAAAAATTAACAAACAGAATATAACTTAAAAGTCTTCCTATGGTTCAGATGAATAAGTCTGTAGTACACACCTCACTGTCTTACCTTAGGAAACTGTTTTACAGGAATTAACACTTTCTGTCCCAGCTTCATGTTCTTATTTATCACCACATCAATGTACTTTTCTTCATCCTTGCTTTCTCCTTTTTGAAACTTTTCTATTTCTGTGGAAGCAAAAAGATATTGATGAGGTGTATGACCCAGAACTGCACAGTCTAGAAGTTCTGGCTGGCTCTTTAGGGAGCAGAAAATTAAATGATAAAATAAGTACCATTAAACTGTTGCGATATTAAGTAGCAAAATGTTTCCTATTTGTCAATCAATCTTCATACAGGCAAAAGAAAAAAGCACACACCATGGTTCTACAAGGTCAATTCCAACTGCCTATGCTAATAAAGGAGAATAATGAACTAGATAATAAATAAATGGGGCCTACTGAAATCCTAAAGAAAGGCTGATCAAAGAGAGGCAAAAAAATTCACAATTCAGTCATAAGGCTATATCCCTACTTATACATATTATTGGCATTTGCAAAGCTTTTCTTATCACTTAAGGTTCTACTTTGACATCTCAAAATACTTTATGTGCAACTCTACTGCTACCATGAAAACAAGGAAAACATGGCACTTCTCCCAAGAAAACCTAAGTTTCTGCTGGGTAAAATTTATTTTTTGTTCCATAAAAATCTACTACTAAGTACCTTCCATGTGTACGTGCCACAGAACAGAAATCTTAGCATACACTTCCTTCACTTTATGTGTGGACTATAGAATTTAACTGCACATCAATTAAACAACAGAGTGCTTGAGTGACTCCTGAGCAAATGAGGGTGTGCTCATCAACTCCTTATGTTGTCTACAGAAGGGCAATGGTGCTAAATGGAGAAAGAACCAAAGATGGCATCAGCTGGCTTTATGTAAAGGGAGACTTACATTTACCCAATTAGTGTGTTGAGTTAGAAATGATTAACAACTTAACGTAGTGGGGCACTTATGGCTCACACCTATAAATCCTAGCTATTCAGGAGGCTGAGATCTGAGGAGCGTGGTTGGAAGCCAATTAGGGTAGAAAAGTCTGTGATACTCTAATCTCTAATTAACCAAAAATAAATAAAGGCCAGAAGTGGAGCTGTGACTCAAATGGGAGAACACTGGGTTAGAGGAGAATGGCTCAGGGACAGCACCCAGGCCCTGAATTTAAGCCCTAGAACCAGAACAAGAAGAAGAACAGGAAGAAGAGGAGGAGGAGGAGGAAGAGGAAGAAAAGGAGGAGGAAGAATTATTAAGGATGCCATATCAAAATGCAAACTAGACTGCTCAGATTCATGACATAATTCAATTCTCAAAACAAAGAGAGTTCAAAGAGATAACTTGACTAATGGAAAGGCAGAATTTACGGCTCAGATTTTATCTGACTCTGAAGACAATGTACCACTACAGTATCTCCTATCATTTTTTATATCCTGCCAGAAAGAAAAGAGGTTTTCACAAAACATTTACTAAGAAGAAGAATGTGTTTATAGCTAGAAGCTTCATATTTGAGTCTCCAGTAACAACTAAAGGAGTCAGGTTCTAGAAGGGTGGCTCAGGTGGTAGACAATAAGCAAAAGCATCAGATATTGAGTTGAAGTCCGAGTCTGGTGTGTATGGGGGAGGAGAGTGGGGCTGAGGCGGGCACAGGGAGGGAGGAAAACACTAAAGGAGGCAGAGGGCCTCACAGTACCATCAGGGAACTTTGTTCTCCATCATCTTCCCATTTCTTACCACACTGTTATCTATTAAACAGAAAGATTTTCATATAGAAAACAGAACATTATTCAATAATAAAGAAGAATGAAATAGTATTTGCAGGAATATTAAAGGGACTAAAGCTCAACAGACTAAGCAAAATAAACCAGACTTAGAAGAAAATATTGCATGCTTTCACTGATACACAATCTAGAACTAATAATGATGATGATAAGACATGACTGAAAATGGGGAACTTAGCAAGGACCAACAGCAGTGGAGAGTGGGAAAGGTGGTGATGCAGTGAGTATGATCCAACTCCTATATATATTTACATGAAATTATAATAAAACTCCCTAAAACTGATGAGAGAGTAATGAAAGAGGGATTAACAAACAATAGCAGAGAAAATAAAATTATTAGAATTTAAAGGACACCTAATGGGAAGTACAGATTTCAAGGTTCTAGAGGTCTTACTAATTGTCTTCGGTGTCATTCTATGTTCTGTGTTTGAATTCAGGTTTTTCATATTTAAAACCAGAGTAAAGATTTAGTTCTAAATTGCTGAGATGTTATATAGTTTATAGATGCTGACAAAGACTTTCAACCCTCAATCAAACTTTTCTAGTAGTAGTCAAGATACTTTTCGGGGTTCTGTGAGTTAACACAGCAAATTTTCTCACCTGGGGGCAAGCAGATGTAGAACTCTTAAATGTGTAATCAGCTAGGCAGAAATATAGGTAGGTGTCACCTTAATGGGTGGAGTAGAGCACTGATACAGAAGCAGCCTTGTGGAAGAGAGCCCTCAATTGGTGTAGGTGGAGAAAGGGAAAAGCAGGTGCTGATTATGACCCTAGAACTTAGTTGTTCGATACCCAGCAGATATTGGTTATAGAACTGGATGCTGTCAGAAAACTACTGTTGGTAGGAATATAAATTTGTTCAACAATTCTGGAAAGGAGTATGGAGGTTCCTCAAGGCAAAACATAGAGCTCCCCTATGACCCAGCAATCCCACTCCTAGACATTTACCCAAATGATCACAAACAAGGAAGGCCACACTAAAGCTAGCAGCACAACTATGTTCGTTGCAGCACTGTTTACCATAGCCAAGGTACGGAATCAACCCAGATGCCTTTCAAGATAATGTGGTATATATACACAATGCAATTCTACACTTTCCATCTAACAGAATGACATCACCCCATTCATAAGGAAATAGACTTGAATAAAATGCTATTAGGTGAGGTAAGCGAGACCTAAAGAAACAGGCTGCCTGGTTTCCCTCATTTGTAATAATTAGTACATGTCTAGGATTGTTCTAGCAGACAATCACAATAGCTCAAGAGCTATGTACATATGGCCTTATAACATGATGTTAATCAAAGTGAACAATAATAAGATATGGAAACAAGAGGGGATGTTTTTTGTTGTCATTTTTCTTAAGGTACTGTATTCAGTTATTTCTCATTCTTTCATTTTTTTCCCCTCTGTTATCACTGTTTTTTATTTTGGTACAGAGACAAAGGACAAAGGGTGAAGCAATGCAACAGTGATACTCACAAGATACTTGCCTTGAGCTGAAGAGCTCAGGTATAGCACTAGGCCCAGACTTCAAGCCCCACAACCAGGAAAAAAAAAATCCTCCTGTGGTAACTAAATTTTTGCATTTCAGAAACTTTTCATGAATAAATAACAAAATTTCAAAATTGTAGAACTAATGGTACGAATGTACTAAATTACTTTTGTTTTTCTTGTTAAAGAGCAGTAACAGTTGTCAACTGCTTCATTGAGTATAATAATTCATAATTTCAGCTTTAATTAGTAGAGAATAAATCCCATCTTTATTATTTTTTCATATAATAATTAGGAATATCCCTGGCACAGTTCAAAGATTTAATATTGAAACTTCCTTGAAGGAAAAAAGAAAAAGGAAATTTTGTTGGCTGCAGGTGGCTCATACCTGACCTCAAGATACTTGATTAGGCTGTGATCTAGAGAACCATGATTTGAGGCTGGCTCAAGCAGAAAAGTTCTAGCAACCCTTTCTCAAATTGAGAAAGTACCAGGGGCAATGGTGTGAGCCTGTCAACCTAGCAGCCTTAGGGGCTGAGATCTGTAGAATCTTGGTTCCAGGCTAGAGCTCAGAAAGAAAAGTCTGCAGGACTTCATCTCTACAAAAGCAGCTAGGTGTGGTGGCATATGTTTATCATCCCAGCTGCAGCAGGAAATTAAAAACGGTAGGATGATGGTTCAACCACATGCTTGGGTAAAAGCCAATACGCTAGCTCTAAAACTACCAGTGCCGAAATGTGCTAGAGGCCTGGCTTAGCATGTGGGTGCCTGTACAGTACGCGTGAAGTCGTAAGCTCAAAAATATGAAAGAATAAAATAATTTTTTGTAACTATTTTTCAAACAACAGATTTTTATAACTTTTAAAAATTTGGACTAGCTATATACCATTTAATTTTTAATTCCATGAAATCAGAATTTCAAGCATTGCTTCTTGCATTGATAGCATGTAACTTTTTGAAGTAATCATAGTGAGAGTGGTTAATATGTAAATATTAGAAAAAATATTTAAGATATAACAACCTTGAAGTTTGGGTATACCTATGATTACAGAGTAAAATTGCTTAAAAATCCATTTAAAAATTTCCCCTCTAGATATATATATATACACATATATATATATATATATATACACACACACACATTTCACTTTACAATCTGGAGACTGATAAAATATGTCAAGTAATCATTAAATTATGTAGGGATATAGTATCTCTAGATTTATCCGGAAGATCTGCCCAAGCTTGAAGCCACATCTAAAGTGTATGTTTGCGTTCAATGAATCTGAAGGGTAGCAATGCAGTGGGAAAAGTTCTGACCCCCAGTGCTCTAATCAATGCTATTTTTCATTTAGTCTAGGAACACATTTCTAGAAAAATATCCTGAAAACATACAAGCACAGATATAAAATATTACATACATACTTCTCTGATATAGTATTGTGCTTAACAGTAATACATCAGCAACCATCTAAGTGTCAATCACCAGATTTAAAAGGCAAATACACATCCAAGATGTGATCCAGGGACTTCATGGACCATCTTTACATCACATACATCGTTTATAGTCACTTGTCCATGAAGTGTGAGCACACACTGATATGTAAGAGGAGAAAGTAAACAAAGGAAAACTTTCTCCTATATTGCTTTTTTAAATTTTTTTAAATTGTATTGTAAAGATGAGGTACAAAAGGGTTACAGTTATGTAAGGTAGGTAATGAGTACATTGCCTTTTTATACTGCATGGTATTTTTAAATTATGTGAATATTAAACAAAATACTTAATATTTTTAAATATGTGAGTATGTAAATTTTATTTAAAATTGTAACATTTAAAATTATTAAAATATTTTTAAAATATTTAAATTTAAAAATTATTAAAAAATTTTAAATATTAAAAATGCATAAAGTTATTCTAATTTTAGGTAAACATTTT